CTTCCTTCCGAGGAGTGGCTGGTGGGTTTGAACCTCCAGCCTTCTGGTTAGCAGTCAAGTGCCTTAGGCACTATGCTACCAGAGCTCCATATCTATGTATAGATATTTGATAATAAAAAATATCAAATCATATGCCTAAAATATGTGCATTTCACACAGTATAATAAAGAATTTAACCTTATTCAAAGAGAGATCTGGTCTCTGCCCTTGGTTCCTAAGAGTTACTTTCCAAGTCCTAGGGTTATCCTTCCTGATAAAACTGCCTCTATTTACCTGGGGGTGTTGGGCCACATCAGATACTTTAAGAATGTGATTTATGTTGAGGCCTCTGTATCAGGTAGTATCATCTTAACTTCCAAAGGGCTGGAGATTGAGGTTAGCCAGTTGGGTAGTCAACCATGCCTATATGACAGAGTCACAAGAAAGTCTCTGGACACCAAGGCTCAGGTAAGCTTTGCTGGCTGGCAGTACTCTATGTGTACTGTCACACATTGTTCCAAGACAGTTAATGCTGTCCATAACTCCACTAAGAAAGGACAAAAGGAAGCTCCATGTTGGGAACTTTCTTGGCCTTTGTTCCATGCTTTTCTTCCCTTGGCTGATTTTAATCTGTATCTTTTCACTGTAATAAACTATAACCATGAATATAAAAGCTTTCAGTGAGCACTTTCTGTGAACCTGAGGATATCAGAACATAATTTTGTCTGAACTTTAACTGGTGTGAGAAGTGAGAGTTATCTCAGCAACTCCCAAATTCTGCGATTGATGTCTGAGGGTAGTCTTGTGAACTGCTCCAAAACACTGTAAGTGCTATTTATGTTTTATCTCAGTAAACTAATTTAAAAAAAAATCCCTTCAGGAAGACTTAGGGTCATAGTCTCATGCGTCAATTCAGTTAATCGACACAACATAGTTCATAAAGTTCATCTATTACATCCTAGTTTCATGAGTAAGTCTGGGGTCCTAAAAAGCTTGCAAGTAACCATCTAAGATACAACTACTAGCATCTATTTATCTGGAGCAAAAGAGAATGAAGATACTCCAAGAATCAGAGAAGGAATCCAAATACAGAACTGTCTCCATGAACCAGGTCCTCCTCCAACTTAAGACCAGAAAAACTAGATGGTGCCTGGTTACTGCTATAGAACGTCTGATCAGGGTCACAACAGATAGATCCTGATAGGAAGGGGAAAATGTGGAATCGCAAACTGTCAAAGAATTTATACTTAGCGGACACACTAAGATGGGACAAATCTCTGAGACTGTTGCACAAAGATATTCATTAAACCTTGAACAGAAACTATCTCCTGAATTCACCTTTTAACTTAATAGCAGGTTAATTCAGTATGTAACGAATTGTACCCTTGAAAACCGTGCTCTTTTAACAATTATCCATACGAGACTAAACAGACAACAGTTACTCTAAAGCACAGAGGAGAAGAAGCTTGAGGGCAATGAGTCTAAATTAATGGGAGCAGAACAATTAGAATAAAAATAATGAGAATGATGACACAAACTGAAGAACGTCACAGAACGTTACTTGTAGATATTGTTGAATGGGAACCTACTTTGCTATGTATGTTGTTGTTGTTGTTATGTGCCGTCGAGTCGGCCCCGACTCATAGCGACCCCTCCTTGGGTTTCCGAGG